CGTCTCTCTCTAGTGCTTTAATTTTATATTCATTATTATATTTAACGCTTTAGAAACTTCTTGGACTAAGCATTATGGCTGAATCCAATTTTTTTATATTTTTTATTATCTTAAGTATTAATTTCGGGTTTGCATTTTACTTACCCACTTTAGAAAGATTCCTTCAAATTTTTACAGGTTATGGTGGTTTACTTGTTCTTTTGCATGTATAGGAATAAAAGAATTGCAATGTAACATAGCCCTATAGATGACCTTGAACTATTGGTAAAAATACGATAGCCAGAATATAATTTACCTGAATAAAATAAAAATGATATATAGCTTAATGAACTGCAAGCGCACAGCTTCAACATATCATCGACATGATGAAAATTTGATCATTTGGATTTGTTTTCTATTTCTCGTGGATGTATGCTCTGCTTGCACTTGCAATTTCTAGAATTGGTATGAAAATTATGTATTCCTATGTAAATTAAGACATTACTCACTAAAATTGAATAAATAGAACTGAATATGTTATTCTTTCAATGTAGTGTAGCACATGTTATTGGTGGTCTTCTACTTAAAAGTCCTTTTTGTCAAAAGCTTGCCAATTTGCTTGTTTTCTCATGCAGATATATGCCTGAGTTGCTATTGTATCTCATAGAATTTATGTTGCTATTATTGATTTGTATTGCAACTATTGATTACTTAGCAAGCTAGTAAAGCTCCCAAATAATTGAATACATACTAGCTTATTGTAGCAAAAGATTATTGTCATTCTTTCTACTAAAATACATGTTCTTGCTCCACTTGGTTATTTTTTAAATTTTGGAAACTTTTGTGCAGATTTTGGCTGTTGCAAGAAAAACTGGTAAGGTATATCCGTCTACTTTTTCTGTACATTTTTTAAAGTTGCTTCAGTGTAGATATGCTGATACCTTTCCCAACTTGTTAATGCACTTATATGATCGAATTTGCTATGGGGGCACAAAGCAGATTGAGGTGCTTGATGCATATAATGGAAAGGAGTGTGCTTCAACAGAAGTTGGTGAATGTGGTACTCTGGGAAAGCTCAGTGACCTAAAGCTTGAATCCGATCCTATTGTTGGTTTGCATTTATTCAGGTTCGTACGTTCATCCTTTCCAATATTTATAATGCACTCATTTGTACCTTCGCCTTTCTCTCCATTCGCCATGCATACTTTTGTTAAATTATTTCAATCTTATATTCTTCATATATAACTTTTCTTTTCTTTTTTCTCTTTTGGGGAAGGCGGGGTGACATCTTCAGTGTCAAAGGTAATAAGACTATGAAGCTGGATATTTTAAATAGGAAATATGTGTACCCTAAAATCCATGCTTTTGATAGCCCAAAATGAGGGGCAATGACCAAGTGATACAGGATGCAAATGTTAATGTTTTCAGCAAACTTGCTGCACGACTTCTATTAAAGCCCCTGCCACATCTTGGTCTTACACATGCCTGCCCTAAAATTTTAACACAAGAAAGTAGCCACAAAACCATTAAGGAAGAACATGCCTTGGCCCTAGAGAAGTTGTTGCCCTGTCGTCAAACGGGTTTTGCAGAAATAGGAAAACTCCACAGATCAAGTACCTAGAAATTTGCCTTGAACCAACTTCTAGGACTTTGCATAGCCCATACAATCCCCTTGGATTGATGGGACACCTTACAGGAGGCTAGTTCACTTATTTTATTTCTACCTATATAGATCTCTCTATAAACTGTAAAGTTTACCCTTTATGTCATACATGCTTTCTTGCTAAAGAGAGAGTTAGAGATAGGATTTTGAGTTCTTCTAGCTCATTGTTTGAGAGATTTAAGTAGAGATAGGAAACTTCTGTTACCAGCAACACCTAGGGTGTGAAACATGCCTAAAACATAGAGAAAGTGAGTTAGCCGGGTACTTGTATTAGGAGATTGATGGAGTGAAAGGGTTGATCTCTACCATCCATCGTTACGCCAGCCATCATGGAACTATTATCTCTAGGAGGATTCTGACTCCAAAAACTCTGCTAATTCTAAGTAATGTTCATAGAACCTTACGCAGAATCTTGTGTCTCTAATTTGATTCTCATAACTATAATTAGAATTATATTTCTATTCAGAATTCAAATCCTAAACATTTAGATTTGACTGTCCCAAACATATCTCCGCCACCAAAGCGAGAGTGATGGGCCCACTAGGTCCTAGATAGGAATTGGGAACAACTCTAACTGGCTCTGATGGTTTCTTTCACCCAAATAGATTTCAGCTCTAAAGGCCTCTTTCATCTAAGTAGAGCGAGGCTACTCATGCTTGATCTAATGGTCTCTTTTACCCAAGTAAAGCTCATCTCAAGTGACCTCTTTTATCCAAGTAGGCTCACCTACCATAATGCCTCTTTCATATAAGTAGGGTAGGCTTACATAGCCTCTTTCATCAATGTAGTCTAGCACTCCACCCATTCTGAAAGTGTTCTATAAATATAACATGCTTGCATACATACAAATATAGCATGCATGAGTACAAATCTAGTCTGAGAACTGTACTAGATTCTTGATGCACCTCTGGCTTGGAGATCAAACCCTTGATGTATCCGTCTTTGCTTTCTACTACACTACTATAAATAGGGAGGCTTTGATAGCTGACTATGCTTCTTGAGTGGTTGACAGTACAGTTGGTCATCTCTCCTCTGCTAAGACTTCATGGAGACTGAGGCCTAGCAGTTTGTTTCCCTTGTTGCTCGGGTAGAGGCTTTTTTCTTACCCCTTTTGCGTGCTGACAGAATAGTTTGGGCCCCATTCCCAAATGGATTTTTTCAGCCTCTTCTTTCTTCAAAACCCTGACAATCTTCACCCCCAATCCTGTGACATAAAATAGAGCTTGGTTCCCCTCAGTCCCAGCTAAAGTGCAAGCTTCTCTTGGCTTTCCATTTTGGGCATAGTTTTAACAGTGGACAAAGTGAAAAAAAGAGGGTTGCATCTATCCAGTAGATTTGCCATGTGTGGTACCAAAGAGGAATCCTACCCCTACCTCTTTTTGCTGTGTCCCCAATCAGCCATCATTTGGGCATATTTTCTGAACCTTTTTGGCCCATCTTGGGTTATCCCCCTGACAAAGGAAGACTTTACAAATAACATTGTTCTCTGCAGGTACTAGCTTCTGGTAGAATCCTTTGTTCCATATGGTGGCGGCTACATGAATCTTGTTTCGCCATTCTGCTCTATCCAGGCTCATATCGTCAATTAGACCACAAGTCACTATATCTCTTCTCACTACTTCCATCCATGTCTTTTTGGGCCTTCCATTTGCCCTTTTAGAGCATTCCATGTGAAACGAATTGCCCCTCCTCATTGGCGCTGTATTAGGTCTGCACTGCACATCTTTTGTATGTTTTAAAACTTCCCAAATTTTGCGTAGCCTCAGTCCAGCCCTTGTTACTGATTAGTAGCCATTGTTGTACCCATTTTGCAATGACCTATTCTTGGTGGTGTGTTTTGTCGCACTAAATAAATTGTAGATTTTGACATCATTGATGCAACTTAGTTACTTGTCAAAAATAGAAAAATAAAAATAAACCGGGAATATGTGAAGAGCTTTTGTCAAAAAACCAAGTGTCCAGGCCTTTAAAGGCCACAAACTCCGACATGAACCGCGACACTAATGAAAGCTAGGGGCAGCAATATTTGAAAAGATATTTAGGTAATAATTTCTTTGGAGAGTTTTGAATCTCTCTTCCCAAGTCCCAAAGAGAATATCACATCGAAGGGTTCACCTCCCCCTTCTAGTTATCTGTTATATGATGAAATAATTAGGTTTAGGTGTTTATCATGAGATTGGGATAATATCTAGCAGTGAAGCATTGATGAAAGTTTTCTCCCAATGGTTAAAAGGTCTAGTTCAGTTAGTTGCTGATAACATTACTGTTACTAGGCACCATATGAATGTGCTAATAAGGTGCTGCTCAAGAGGGGCTTATCAGTGATGGAAGCAAAATGCTGCTTTTTTAGAAAATGTTAGCTTCATGAATGTGTGCCCTTTTTGGCCAAAAATAGGCAGAACTCTGTTCATGTTGGCACTTGGTAGGGAGAATCGCAGCAAATGTGTATAAGCTTGCTTTATGTAGTGCTTGTACATGCATCCAAACTCGGCATAGACTTTTGCAAGGTGTTTAAAGTTCTAGCCCACTTTGGTGGAAATTGATGTGGCTTCCACGTGTTGGACAACAAGTCAATCCTGCTCCAATGTGCTGGCAATGATCTGTAGTTCTGTGCCCTAGGCTTGTCTGGTCAATGTTCCTTGCATCGAAGAAATAGTATGTGTGCTAGGCAATTTGTGCTCCCCTATAGCATTGACTGTTGAATTTGTGTCATAATCAGGATGTCTTATTGCTTTTGAATCATAATGTATCGATAACTTGCCTAATGACTCACTACGGAGGAGCATTCTGATTCCTCAGCAACTTCTATAACTTAAGTCATTTCATATTAATAAATAACCTATATCATTAATGATCACATGACTTGTTTACATATCTTTGAAATGTTCTATTATCATATTACACCTGCAAACACCAAATAAGGAGCTCTATATCTCTATCAACGGTAGATGTGCTAATGCATAAGAAGGTTTCTAATGAATGCAACCGCTCTACCAAGGTCTCTCTCTCCCTCTCTTTCCACGCAGATGCACATACACATGCACAGAGACGTGCATGCAGGCACGAACACTCAATAGGAAAGTATTCGACAGGTGCAGTTATGGGACTGTATGAGAAAACATATCACCCAGCTGTCAGATTACAACTGTGATATAAGAAAACATACCACAGTCTGCTTTTGTGTTTTGTGAAGTGTGGAAACCTCAGCAATCATAAAATCACGTATGTATTATTGTACAAAGAGACGATTCAATGGGTGGCCGATTTGTGATTTCCTAGCTGTAACAATGATGTCTTTTCCATGGACTCTTCCAACTTATTACCACGATTACAGAAGCCTGTCTGTCCTCAATCTGACTCAGGATTTCATGTCCTACCCGTGATCTTGTCTGTTGATTCATGGAGAGATCTCTAAGTTGTGCGAGTCACTTGGTTCCTTTTCCTTTGTTGTGAGGGATTCCAGGTGGGCTGCTGATATCTTGGCTTAGGAGGCTATAGAGAACCTGGAGTTGGTGATTCTTTGATCACCTGTCACAGGTGTGACCCTCTTAGCCTTCTGAGGTTCATCTATTTCTTTCCTATGTGAAGTTCATCTATTTCTTTCCTATGCTTTCTTTTGCAGTTTACTTGTCAATGAAAAGAAGCAGGGTAATGCATTGGCCTTTGTCATACCCAGTGTAGGAAAAATGGGGTGGTTCAGAATTTGAAGCGCTTGGTTAGACCCGGTTAGATCGGAACCGGCCACTGGCTGGTTCTGTTTTCCGCTCGTTTTAGTGAACCGGCTAGGTATTTTAAAAAATTAAAAAATATATAAAATCCCAAAAAATAAGGGATTTTGTTTTTAATGCATTTTTTAATGTTTTTCATCATTTTGGCAAAGATTGGGAATTGTTTTGGCCATTAATACTTATTTTTACATTTTGCCACTTTTATGGAAAATTTCAAAAATACGTCTGGGCACAAATCGATTCTTTAAAATCCATTTTTTTCATTAATTTTCAACTTCATTTGGATGTGCTTTGTTTGATCATGCTTTAAATATACTTTTCATATTTGACAAGATTTTTTTTGTATTATTATTATTTTTTTAACACTTTTTTGTCTGCCTGGGACTTGTCCGGTTAGGCCGGTTGAACTGCTTCTAGCCCCATGTTCGGTTACCCATTCCGGTTTGATTTTTCCTTGATGGGTCATACCTATTGCCGTGCTCCATTTCCTTCATGGAATACAAGCATGCATTGGCTTTCAAACATGTGCAATATATCTTATATTAATTTATTCCATACTTTGCTGGGATTTTAAGCTTGGACATTGTGATTGATGTGAACTTTCTATGGCAAACCAAAAAACTTCAAACCCTGGAAGGAATGGTTATTGCCCTTGCTAGTTTTCTACGCACGAATGTTAAACCCTACGATCTTAAATAAAAGAGAAACATTATGTCTTTTATCAGAGAATCCCTTAAGTGGGCAGATGTTTTATTGCTTGTGGCTCATTTGAGCTTTGATACATGCATTCAGCTTGGTATTATAACTTAATTTACATCTGTGCATAATTGCTTGGAGCTGGAGGGGACCGGGAACAGGAGCAGGAGCAATGGATCATCACATACAGGATGCTTCCTAGGTTGGAAGCGCATTCTGTGCAATTATTGAATTATTAAATAAACTTTTAAAAATTATAAATTGGTTAAAAATAAAAAATCTAATAATCCCAAAGAATAAAAAATGGGCACACCAAAATGGGCTATGAAATCAATTATTTATTAAAGAAATTTTTATTTAATTAATAAATAGTATTTTAAATTCCTTTGAGGTGTATTTTATGTAACAATAATCCTAAAACAATGCTAAAAATATTATGGTGATGCATGTCGATATTATCGATAACCATACAAGGGATTTGATTTTTTAATGATATTTCCTAAAAAAAAACTGCTTTATTTACAACTTCAGACATTAAGAAATCCAAATACAACAAGCTGCTTTATTTGTAATTTACAACATTCAAAAGCGAGAAAGAGAGTACAATGCAACTGAGATGCAAATAAATCATGTTCTTGGACTTTTGTTGTGCCTCCAAGTGGCTAGGAGCCATCCCTAAAAAGTGTGGACCGAGGTCACTATCCAGGAGTGCTGGAGCGAGATCCCAGAGCAGGATCAACATCTAGGTTGGAAGGTTCCTGTCACTTTGCATCTGTGTTTTTGGGAAACAGGAAAAAGCTTAATTTTATTTCTTTGTGTGTTCTTCAATAAGACACCTGATAAATTCCCAATGGTCTGAGGGACAAACTTGGGGCTTTGGGTACACTCATGTATATAGTAGTTTGACCTGTTCCAGCCAATCCAAGCTTCACAGGTATAGTTTGTTCTTATAGGTTGGATTGAGAATCACTTCATCCAATATTCCTCATCCCTGAATAGAATTTCTTAAAGAGGTGCCCCAAATAGTTATCTAGATAATTCTTAAAAGTTTTAAAAGTCCTTGAATGCATATTACTGGTTGCTCAAGTGTTGTCTGGCTGAATTGTAGGGTTGAGTTTCAAGTCTTGTGATTCTTCCTGTGTCCAGCTTCAGAAATTTATGTTGCAAAAGTATGTTATTGAGCTTTGCACTGTGTTGGTCTGATATCATAAAATTCCTTGGTTACCCCCCTTACAATGAGTTCTAAAATAATTTCATGTATTGTTTCCATTGTTTATTTAGAAATACTTAACGTAATTTGTGTTTTTCTGGGAAACATTTAGTCCTCTACATCTGATATCTCCGTCTCTTTACAGGTCAAGTGCTCTTCTTTTTTGCACTGAGAACGGAAACTCATGTTTGAGGTCCATTAAGATCAGCGATGCAGCAATGGATTCAACTCCAAGTGATACCCCAAGCTCTTGGCGAGTATGTGGTTCTGGCAAAGTGGCATGTTGCTCTGTTGATGGAAATGAGAAGTATGCCGTATATGGAGGGTCAGTTTATTAACTTGTTAATGTTAAAATTATTTTGTATCATTCCTACTATGAAGCTGATGCAGGTTTCAAGTGTGTGTTTTTATTGGCCTAGCTCATCTTTTGGTTTACAGTAGAGACGTTTCATCTGAGTGATCATGTGGAAAGTGACCATTTCACTATTCTTTTTATCAGTAAAGGTGTTGAACTTGGTGTCTGGGATCTTGAGACATGTAATAAGATGTGGACTGCGAAGGCAGTAAGTATAATCTGTCTTATGCCTTTCTTACCGAGTTTATAGAGTTTGACATTGGATCAGCTTATATGGATGGGAACTTTTCCCTTTTATAAATAGATATGATACTCATTACTTCTTATTTGATTGCTTGGAAGCCTCGCCGTAACAGCATTGGCCTATTCACTCCAACATGGTTTACTGCTGTAACATTCCTTAATGATGAGGATCATCATAAAATTGTGACAGGCACAAACCAGCATCAGGTAACTTGCAAACTTGCAGTATGTCATCATTGTTGTAACTGCTGCTATGCCCTCTCCTTGATATTGTCCGCTAAATTGACATAGCTGATACTTCCATTAAACTTCTGTCTATTTCAGGTGCGACTCTATGATATTTCCGCACAAAGAAGACCTGTTATTGCTTTTGATTTTCGGGAGTCCCCTATTAAAGTCGTTACCAAGGATCCAGATGGCCACACTGTCTATATAGGAACTGGATCTGGAGATATTGCTAATTTTGACATGCGCACAGGTACTTCTGATGATCTTATTTGATATCATAAGTGCAATGACTTTCTCTTCCCCCTGTTGATTTTTCTTTTGACATTTGAATATCTTCTCCCTTGTCGCTTTCACCCCAATGTATGCGAACAGTGTCCAGATAGATTCTGGTGTTTGATTGTACTTCGTGTGGATTAGGGTAATCCTTTACATTTTGTAATTGCCCTCACAAACTTCCATATAGATTCTTGTGTTTGATTGTACTTCGTGTGGATTAGGTTAATCCTTTACATTTGGTAATTGCCCTCACAAGATTCTTGGGCTTCGCCTTCTCTACCACATTTATGGCCCACAGCCATAAAAACAAAGGATGGAGGATGGAGGTTCCATCTTGCTCGAATCTTACTGTACCCAAAAGGGAATTATGTGGACCAGTACACATGGATAAGGAGCACTGCAGATCCGGCTCACGATTTCTTCCCATCCTAATAGACGAATGACAATGGCTATGACGTATGTCAGACTGCTATCAAACAAACGTAGGTTCAACAATTTGTCATATTATTGTTAGCATACGTAGACAGCGTAGATTCTCTCAGATCTTAGGCTTGCCGATATGTTCGAATAGAATAGTTCAGTTGCGAGTGGGCTAGAAAATGCAGCCCTAAAACATTTGACTTTTTCTGCACCGGTCTAATAGTTTGAGTTCGATCCCGCCTTCGAATCGATGATCCCGAAGGATTCTGTGCGGCGAGGTGAGGCAACCGGTCTCACGCCTCGAACCCCTCTTCCACCTGAGCTCCGGTGTTTTTGACTGCTCTCCCAAATGAGGCTTGAGCCCTCTCATCTTTCGGGTCCCCGACAATTAGAAAATCTCGGGCCAATTCGTGTGATTCACGCAGGGTTGTGTTTGTGAGCCATGTCGAGTGAAAGGGAAGCCAATCCCACCAGTGGCTCAACTTCGGGCCTCCATACTGCTTTCCTAGTTCGTTCGGTTCCATGCCATTTCCATCCGCATTAACATTGTGTTCCTTTTGTTGTAGTTTTTTCTTGCTTTTTGTGAATGCTTTCTGGTGTGTTTGAGATTGAATGGCTGGGATATGAGATATTTGCTTATGTTTCTTTCTCTAGAACTTTGTTTGCTTCTGAAATCTGAAATCTGAACTTGTAGTTGTTAGTTGTTTTTGTAAGTAATTCCTTTTGAGTTTAATTTATGTTGTTACTATGCAGTAATGGAGACACCACATGTAGTAGTTGTTATTTATTTAAATTCTCAGGACCAGTTTGGATGGACCACTATTTTTTATGCACTATGTGAGGAACTGGGCCACAATTGCCCTTATCCATTTCCAAGCCTTGGTTTAATGGAAAACACTTCAAAGAGCTGCTAAATCTCGAATGTCCTCGCAACAAAAAGTACTTGTCTTTCTTTAAGTCATGCTTAATGCTAGTCGAGAATAGACTTTCTTGGTCCATCCAGATTCGCCCCTGAATAGTTGAATAAACCTTATGAGTTGGCAATATGAGTGGCCCAAACACACAGTATTTACCTTTTGGCCCTTTCATTCGAATGACTAGAAATTACTCAGAAGGAAAGTAGCACCCCTGATAATGCAGTGGGATCAGCAGCATGCTGTTCTCTGTCTTGCGAGTGAAAACTGTTATGGTCCTAGATGACGCTGACACACTGTATTCTAGGTTTTGCGACCATCAGGGTTAAGCTTCAGAGATGGTGGTGAAGAAGGCTAGAGGTGGGAATGGGTTGGTTGGGTCATGGTCGATCCTGACCTGGACCTGACTTGACTAGGTATACGCTTGACCCTTACCCTTATCGGGCCAAGTTTAATTGGACCCCGATCCACCAGGTTGGGTATCCGGGTCCAGGTCTGTAAATAAAACTAATATGTATAAAACTATATTATTTATTTTATGCTATACTTAACATTAGTGATATGTATTTATGTTGATATATGCTGGGTTGATCGGGTCAGGTTGACTCAAACCTGGGCTCAACCCTTCTCGACATGATTTAAGCTGGACTCAGACCCGGATCCTGCCTGGTTTTGGTCATGGTCATGTGGACCCAGTCCGGACCTGTTGGGTCCAATGTCTAGGTCTAGACCCGAACCTGGTCGGGTTGACCCGTTGGGCCCACTGGTCAACCCAACTCATTCCCACCCCTAAAGAAGCCCTATTGTCCTTCCTATAATGTAGAATAACTGGACCTCTTTGCCAAATTGTCCATGCTGATCCTTTCTATACCCATAAGAGCACCTTATTGGACCTGCTAAAATGCATGCAACAGCAAAAATTACTAAGCTTGTGACATGAAATGAAGTCATGAAACTTTTGGATGCTTATGATTGTTAAGTCTTGTAGGCCCGTTAATGTTCATAATTACATATGCAAAGCAATATACACTAAGGACATGCTTATGTAATATAATACTTCTCAAATGCCAACCTGATCCCTTTAAGTATTTTTAGTTTCTGAAGTTTCCAAATCATGCATTAACTGCAAATATGATTAGATTTACTTACTCCCAATTTGATGACCATGCATGAAACCATTTGCTTTGTTTTGACTTTTGAAACAAGAGGACAGTGATACTACCTGTAACATGTGCTAATGAAGCTTCAATGATTCATCCTTCCTTAAAAGCTCTTAGATTTTCAAGAACATTATTGTGTTTCAGAATTTTCAGAGAGGCTTTTGTATTTCAATTTAAAGGAATATCAATTATCCAATTTCATCTCTGATTTTTCATGATTCATGAAATATGGTGCATGCCACTTTCATCTTTTATTTGTTGTACTACTTTCTGTATCATCATCGACATTTATTTTGAATCACAATAGGCCCTTTTTTTTTGACAATTGTTAAAATTGTATTACTAAAGAGAGTCCGGGATTACAAAAAGTGTAGGCGCCCTCACTGGGTAGCAATCAGTAAAAAATACATCAGTCGATTACATGCACATGGGCTTATAAGATTCGCCCTACAGTCAAGATTTATAGAGAGAAGAAAGAAAGAAAGAAATTAAGAGAAAAAAAGAAAGGTCCAAAACAGTGGCTGGCGCGATAGAAGGTGGGCTATCTTGAGAGGCTGTGGTCCATAACAAAAAAGGAGTTGGACGTGGCCTGGATGTCCGTGTGTAGGCTAGCTCCCTCCTTCGCCAAAAGGTCGGCGAGATCGTTGGAGGTCCTCCAGATATGCTGCCATGAGATGCTCGTATCCCTACAAAGGTGGGTAATTTCATCAAAAATGGAAGACAAATACCAAGGTGGGGGGAATAAACCGCTGGCCCAAGAGATGGTGTTCAGGGAGTCTCCTTCCACAATCAAATGATTGCCCTAGGACGGGTCACAAAATCTCAACCCTAGATGAAGGGCCGAAGCTTCAGCATATTGCGAGTCAAAGGTCCCAAGGTGCATAGAGAAGGTGAGGAGAATGCCCCCCTAGCGCCTGAAGGGCTTCGGTTACCTAAACGGCGTGTTTGATAACAGGAACCAAGAGCATGAACTGGAAATTAGAAGTTACTGAAGAACTGTAAATTAGAAGTTACTTAAGATGTTAATGGTTTCTGTGTTTGATAACCTCATTGGGAAGTTAAGAAGTTCATAGTTTCTGTGTTTGATAACTCCTGGGATAAATGGTAAATATCTTATATTT